TGCCCCTACTCCATCTGAGGACTTCGTGCCATCTGTGTACCAGTGCAGTGTGCACTGGAAATCGGGGGCGCTCCAGGTTGTTTTACTGCATAACTCTATCTTAAATCTCTTCTCAAATACTATAGTTTTTCCTATCTCATCTCAAGGGAACAGAGCAAGCGAGATCGAGGCCCCTAGCTTCTCCATATTTCTAGAGGATACGACCTTACCTTTGCCGCATCCCTCTCTAGCAAAGCTGAGCACAGTTCTTTTGGCTGCATAATCTATGGTTATGTGAAGAGGCTCGAGTTCGAGGACTACNTTAGCTTCTCCATATTTCTAGAGGATATGACCTTACCTTTGCCGCATCCCTCTCTAGCAAAGCTGAGCACAGTTCTTTTGGCTGCATAATCTATGGTTATGTAAAGAGGCTCGAGTTCGAGGACTACTTCCAGCGCCGTCGGCGGACATGTGCGCATTGCTCCAGTTATGCATACACAAGCCAGTCGTTGTAGCTTGGTGAATGATTGTCTCACCGTGGCCAGAATAGTTCTTGAAACCCAAGTCACCGCCCCATAGGTAATCATTGGCTGTACTATCATGATGTAGAGCCATCTTAGGATCCTGGGGCTACAACCCAACGATTTTCTTGCAAGACGCTTACACACCATTAACGTTTTCGTGGCATTGGAGGTGATCGCGTACACATGCTTATTCCATAGAAGTTTGGTGTCTAGGATTATTCCCAGATACTTCACTTCGCTGGCGACGCCGACCACGACCTCCTCCAGGGGTCCCTCATGCCTAACAGGGCTCTTTTCCTGGTAAATGGNCTAGCTTCTCCATATTTCTAGAGGATACGACCTTACCTTTGCCGCATCCCTCTCTAGCAAAGCTGAGCACAGTTCTTTTGGCTGCATAATCTATGGTTATGTGAAGAGGCTCGAGTTCGAGGACTACTTCCAGCGCCGTCGGCGGACATGTGCGCATTGCTCCAGTTATGCATACACAAGCCAGTCGTTGTAGCTTGGTGAATGATTGTCTCACCGTGGCCAGAATAGTTCTTGAAACCCAAGTCACCGCCCCATAGGTAATCATTGGCTGTACTATCATGATGTAGAGCCATCTTAGGATCCTGGGGCTACAACCCAACGATTTTCTTGCAAGACGCTTACACACCATTAACGTTTTCGTGGCATTGGAGGTGATCGCGTACACATGCTTATTCCATAGAAGTTTGGTGTCTAGGATTATTCCCAGATACTTCACTTCGCTGGCGACGCCGACCACGACCTCCTCCAGGGGTCCCTCATGCCTAACAGGGCTCTTTTCCTGGTAAATGGGATGATGGCGGTTTTGGCCGGATTGATGTTAAGGCCTAACTTAGCACACCATCCTTTTGTTAATCTTAATCCTCTTTGAATAATTTCGCAGAGGTTCCTCTCGAGCTTCCCCCTGGCAATGATCACTATGTCATCCGCATAGCCTTGGCAGCGGATGTCATGGTCGGAGAGAAGCTGAAGGAGTTCATCTACCACTAAGCACCACAGAAGAGGGGGTAGAACCCCTCCCTGTGGGCAGCCCTTTGTTGTTAATAGCTGTACCATGCTGTCCCCCACCTTGGTGTCAGCAATCCTACTATGCAACAGCGTATCCACCCAGTTGCAGATCACTGGCTGCACGTTTCTCTTCTCTAGTACCCTGTGCACACCAGTGTGAGACGTATTGTCGAACGCTCCTTCTATATCGAGGAAAGTGCAGAGCACTGTTTCTCCGCATTCAAAAGCCCCCTGAATTTCGGTTGTCAGTTGATACAGGGCTGTGTCCGTGGACCTTCCAGCTCTGTATGCATGCTGACAAGAGTGTAGGGGTTTTACCTTCAGAATGCTNCCTTCCAGCTCTGTATGCATGCTGACAAGAGTGTAGGGGTTTTACCTTCAGAATGCTAGATCTTATGTAATTGTCCACTATCTTCTTTATTGCCCACCTTCGGGATAAAGATTACTCGCGCCCTCGCGTCGAGGTCCGAGAGCCTTAGGTCGCACTCGCTTTTCCCGTCGAGCTCAAGCGCTCTCAGGTCTAGTCCCTCCATCAGCTCCTGCGTTGAGGGGACCTGCCCCTGTGCAAGAGCCGCTGATAGTAGCTGGGTGGTGCATAGCGGGTTAGAAGTTTGGGCTGAAGGTGCAGGCTGGCAAACCTGTGCGTCCACTACTGCTGTAGCTGTTGTAGCTGTTGACACGGGGGGGAGACTTCATCCACCTGCATATTTCCCTCGTCAGCTACCTTCTCTTCTTCCGCTGCCTTTTTTCGCCATTGTAACATAGCTGAACCTAAAGTTCAGCTTATATTCAGCCCTCCTGACGCTAATGAAGGAGTCCTCATCTATGCCCACGTTTAGCCCCACGCCAGCATAATCAATGCTGCTCGAGATGACGCGCCACGCTGGTGTGTTATGACCTTCGTTTTGCGCCCTTAGCAGCCCCATCATATAATCTGCCGATCTGTCGGCACTTCTCGGCAGGAAGATATTCATATTATGCATGGCTGGTATTTCATAACCCCGTTTGACGAATAGTGCAACTCCCTTCCAGCTCCCTAGTTTTGGTGCAAACTTTTCCAGCCATTTTGCCGTACCCTCATCCTTGCAGTCCACAAGGAGCATACCTGGACGGAAATAAACTCCGCAGAAGGTCAGCGGGCGCTTCCACCCTTTGAACACCTCGTCCATTATGGCGTCCTGCAGGGAGTCAACTCATCCGGACTCAGCGCCTCCGCGAGATAGTTTCTAGGCAGCACCTTTGCTACCGCGCGCAGACGTTGGCCCCCAGTGCCTACCCCCGGGTCCCGATTCCGGAGGGGGTGGAAACTCACGCTGCTTCTTTCAAGCCAAGTTCTGGAGGGTTAATTGTCCGCTCTTCCGCTTTGCGGCGGGCGCGCTCTCACCGGAACCACTTACTCTTTTCCTCTGGTCTCCGTGCTTCTCATCCCGACTACAATGCCCGCTCTTCCGCTTTTCACCGGGTGCGGTCTCGTCGGCGCGCCTGTCAAACTTTCTGCTCGAATCACGGGGTTGCTAACGCTCCGCTTTTCAGCGGGTGCGGTCTGACTGCCGGATACCTCTGCACCCTGTTGCACTTGCCGCCCGCTCTTCCGCTCATTTGCGGTTGCGGTCGTTTCGCCCTCGCGCCCATTGCCGCGTCTGCTCGGGAGTTTTACCTTGCTCTAGGTACCTGATATAGTGCCTCGCTTGGGAGCCTCTGAGGCCCAATCTCCTACGGTCGTCTAGGGCGCCAGGTTACCCTCGACCCTGAACTGTAAGCGGGTTCGCGCGCCTATCCATATGGCGGTCTCTGTCCCACCGCATGGACTCGCGCGATGTTGTCGAGCCGAGATTTAACGAATCCACAACTATATTTTTCAAAAAACAAAAATAATTCATGTTTATGTTGTTTTCTTCTAAAACTTTGAAAGCCGTCTTTGGCACGTACAGCTGCCATCGCCTAACAGAGCGATAGGAATAAGTCTATCACCACGAAGCGCCGCCGAGCGAACTTCGCATTTCGCTTTGATTGTGTTCAATTTCACATACTTGCAGGTTTTTTAATTTTGGCAGCGCGAATTTCGCTGTGGTGAGTTCGCCGTTCGCAGGCATTGTATATCGGCATTCTCTCATGAATAATTGCCCAAAATTGTATAATATTTAATTTATCTGGCTAGTTACATTTCGTTCTTACCTCATCCATTGTGTTCATTTGCCTTTTATTTGTTCGTAGCAATTTGAATTTGCTGAAATTTATACGTTTAATTAAGTGATAAACTTCGGTTAAATATATTTCCATATAAAGCTTGACTGTTCGTTTATCACAATAATAAATTTATCATTTTATCAAGTTTATCAACTGTTCATCACTTTAAATGAAGACCCCTAGTTACTCACACACCCACCGAACACAATCTGACATGGGCCAATGACTCAATCTGGCATCTTTATTGCGTTTTTGACGTTTGCTTAGAATTGGATTGTCAAAATTGTCAGGGTTGCCGGTACTTTTATTTCAATTGTAAGAGATTTTTTTAATTGAATCGAAAAGTTTCGTTTTCTTATCTAAAATTTTAGCTGAATAGTTTAAAGTGTTGCATATCTGCTAAGTATTGTTTATAAAGTCAATATGTGCTCTATTGTCTGAAGAATAAGTACACGTATGTATTTGTAGGGAACTAATGTTGTTTATTTCTGAATTTGTTGTTTAGAATAGGATGGTTTATATTCTTGTATGTACATTAGACTGCATCACTCCCCATACAAAAACAAAAATAAAATCGGTACTGAGTTTCCATTGGAATTATAAACTCTATTATATTTTAAAACGTCCACTAAACTATTTCAAAAAAATATTAAGATTTACGTTTGCTGGACCGATTTGAAAATATCTCCAAAAAGAAAATTTTTCCTGAATGAAAATAGTTTCTTAAATATTTAAAAAAAACCCCAAATAAAAAGTCTCATAAGTCTAAAAAAACAGCATCATAAATCTCATTATTACGATTCAGTTGAAAAGGTTTTTAAAGATTTTTTTAAGCTTAATCTGTTTTGTCAACTGAGGGGATTTTTTTCAAAACCTTTTCGAAGAAACTATTTTTGTATTCATAAAAAACTCCATTTTTGGAGGTATTTGCAAATCGGTCCTGCTCACGTAAATTTTAATATTTTTCCAAAATGTTTTGGTGGACGTCTTAAAATATAATCAATTTTGTAGTCCCAGCAGAAAAGCCGCAATTTTTTTGGTGATGCAGTCTAATGTACATAGATACTACACAGCAAATCAATAAATAACCATTATGACGAATACGAATAATTAAGCATTTGTATCATGATATTTACTTTCTTTTGTAATGACGGGTAACCCACATATTTCTGTAAAAAATCCCAAAAGCAACCAAATGTAATTTCCTTTGGATAACAAATGCAACACTGCGCGGTATATAGGACGCTGTGCAACAAACCAAAACAATCGCGCCGTGAGCAAATTGGGTGAAAAAATAGCATGTTTTATTTTCCCGTTATTCAGCAGTTCATTCAATAATTCAATATTTCTACACATTTTATAATATTTGCAGAAAACAGTAAACAACCTCTGCCGTGCTTGTGATTATAGGAATCTTTGTGTAAATTTCATTAAAAACATTTCCTTTTATCACTAGTTGTGGTTAAGTGATAAGCTTTGTTTTGGAAACGCTTTCAATAGTCGCCCGACTATTGGAATTTATAGGGAATTTACATGATTTCAACTTTCACAGGCGATTAGTTGAACCAAATTCCCTATTATCAAGTTTTATTTAATCTTGTGTGCCACTGTGTCCTGAGTGTCTTGTTGTCAAGCATATTAAACCAGAAATGCGTCGCTAGTTCTGAGAACTTCGTTTATACAGCGTTTATTATATGTAACTTTCAGAGAAGCCCCCCGACTATTGGACTTTATCAAGTTTTACTTAAGCTTGTGTGCTATTGTATCCTGAGTGTCCTGTTGCCAATCATATAAAACCAGAAATGCGTCAGTTCTGAGAACTTTATGCAGCGTTTAATATAACTTTGAGAGAACCGTACGCTGGAGCGGTAAGTTTGTGAAAATTTAATGTTTCATTTTAATCAAAATGTACATGTCAAAATTAAGAAACAATCCCTTACTACCCGTTAAGGATTTTGGTTTTTGAGTTGTGCGGGGTGGGGTTTAGTACCGCTCACAACTATTTCGGGCTATTCCGTCCATTACTGCAGAGGGCCATCGATATGTATATAGTTTATGTATGCAGAATTACTTATTCATACATACAACAAAAAATACACAAGTAAATTTATAAACAGTAGGATTTATATTTATATCTATGGAGTAGGAATTTATGTATGTATGTAGTTCCAATGTTAAAACATATAATACGTTCCAACAGAGTATCATATCACACTATTAAAAACTTATCTAGAAACTTGCTAAAGCTTCATCACTAGAAGATTCAAATATGTTACAAATCCCTTGCATGTGCAATAGATGGCTGGCACTCACTGATAACGGCGTGTAGGCAATCCTTTGCTGTTGTTGTAGCGGCTAATATCAATCCCTTGGGACCGTTTGTTCTAATATAAAAGTTTAAATGCATATATTTATTTGTTATACGCGCTGTGTGCTTAGATAATTAAGTTGGTACCATTTTGCCTAAATAATTCGCTTCATCCCACTAGCTCCCAACATTAGTTTCATTGGTTAACTTGTACCTATGTTGCTCACAATGTTTCTTTGTCTTTGCCCCAATTGCTACCTGCTAGCGGTAGGTACTGTACTTTGATTTTTAACGTAGTCGCCCTCTATTGCCTTCTCGACTGAATCCATGGTGGAATTGTGTTATCTCAACTGAACCTCACAGAATAAGAAAAGGTTGTGTGAAACATTCACATCTACAAAGAAGAAAATAGCAGTTCTTCTCATACATAAAATTCTAGAAGTATACCGTTACTTTCCAGCTTATTTATACTTTTTGCATATGCACACACTTCCCTTTTTTGAGTCCAGGTTAACAAATTGGCCTTGCAAGTTGCATTGTGCGTTTAATTCTGAATAGTGCTCAAAAGTGCAAAGAGAAGCTGTTTAATTAGTTTTGTTATTTCTGAACGAGATAAATAAGGTAAGTTTTTCACGTGAAAAATAATTTTAGAATCTTATTAAATTCAAGCATTTATATGTACGTACATATGTACGTACGGTGATCTTGAAGAGCGATAAAGTTTTTTCCACGTGGCCAAACAAAAAAATTCTTTGAACCATTTTTATAAGCATCACATCAAGCTGCTCTTCTGAACGATTTTTCTAAACATGTGATTTTTCATTAAAAACCAATTATTATTTTTGTTTTCAAGTTTTGACCATCTATTTGTGCTTATTATTTTTAACATATTTTTTTAGGATAATATAATGCATGCTACAACAAAAATTATGTAATTCAAAGCTTTAAACTTTGTATAAGATTTATAATAATTCGACAGAGTTCGAAAAATGGACATCAAAATTTCAAACGTTTTTTTTTTAATTTCTCGAAGTAATTCGGCTATGCAGTTTTGTAGACCATTTAATTTTAGTATAATATTTTGCAAGTTTGAATTAGCTCAAAAATCTCGTTGATTTTTTTTTTTTAATTTTCGCTGACTATGTTAAGCGATTTGTTCTATACAAAGTATGTTCAAAATAAATTCTCAAAAATCAACGAAATTTTTGAGTTAATTCAAACTTGCAAAATATTTTACTAAAATTAAATGGGCTACAAAACTGCATAGCCGAATTATTTCAAGAAATTCCCAAAAAAAAGGTTTGCAATTTTGATGCCCATTTTTCGAGATTCATCGAATTATTATAAATCTTATACGAAGTTTGAAGCTTTGAGTTATAGCGTTTTCGTTGTAGCAGGCACTATATTTTCCTAAAAAAAAAAAATGTTAAAGATAATAAGTACAAATAGATGGTCAAAACTTGCAAAAAAATGTTATCTAATTATCGGGTCACCAGAGTATACATATGTATCCACATACAGTATTAGAGATATCAATCGATTCGAATAGAAATAAAAATAATCGATGCAGGGAAAAATCCTCTAAAAATAAATTAATCTCCCGAGATCGATTCACATGTATGTATATTGTCAAAAAACGTTAGTTGAGCTTGACGACAACGATTGATGGACAAACCTACCCAGGCGGGGCTTAGTAGTGCCGCTACATGAGATACTTCGCCGGCCTAAACGGGGTTAGATAGCCGAAACAACAGCCCTCGGTCGGGTAAATCCGGAGTCATTCCGGTACGTAAAATCGGCTGTAATGGCAATGGCGGGAAGGAGGTCAGACTATCGCTGGGAATTCACGCCGATGATACACCGATTCCGACGATGAATAACCCTACATTCCCACGACAGGCGGTTTTACGTACCGGAATGACTCGGGTTTTAACCGACCAAGGGCTGTTGTTTCGGCGATCTAACCCCGTTTAGGTCGGCGAAGTATCTCAGAAGTTGTTCGTCCATAGGGTTACATTCGCTACGTTTTCTTCTGCTCAGGGCTGGCATCGAGTCATACCCAGGGCCAGAAACCTACACCTGCTGTGTACGTCAGTGGCGACTACACAACAACTCCACCTTNATTCGCTACGTTTTCTTCTGCTCAGGGCTGGCATCGAGTCATACCCAGGGCCAGAAACCTACACCTGCTGTGTACGTCAGTGGCGACTACACAACAACTCCACCTTAGTCAAGTGCAATGCTTGCGAGGGGTGGAGTCACCTCAGAATCTGCTCAGAATTACGGACACATCGGCAGTGGACCACGTCGTTTGTGGTCCCCTGCTGCTCAAACAGAGCAGCCTCCACGGCTACCCCAGTCCACCTGAGCAGCCCCACACAAACACCACAGCACAACACAATTGACCACACCACAACTACGACAGACCACGCCACAACTACGACAGACCACAGAACACACACAACCGCACCACCACCCACGCGCCGCCGCCAACAACTCTTGGTTCCTCCTACAATCTGACCAGGATATTCCGGAATGTGACATCAGTCAAGTGCAACACCTACCTTGGCTGACGCCACTGTAGGGCATGTTCAGGTCTGCGCACCACGCGAGATTGGACGAGGAACTTCGAGAGCCCGTGTTGCGCTGCTCGGTCGCAAGCCTTAACTGCGACGCCACCCACCACCACCACGGCGGCAACCACCTCAGCAGCGCCACAGCCAATGGCATCACGGCCACACATATCTCTCACACCCCGCATTACCACACGTTTCCCGAACCACATGAAGCTCGTTCAATTTAACTGTAACGGGCTTCAGAGCAGGCTCGATATGCGATGATGCGCAATGAACGACGACGCACCCACGACAGTCGGGTCTACGTAACCGGAACGACCCAGATTTATATCTGGCCAAGGACTGTCACTCCAGCAACACTCCCCAAAATGTCTTTGGGGAATTTGTATGCTGCTACAACAACAACGACGCACCCACCAAGATTTTTTGGCAGCTGCTGCAGCTCGCCAGACATAACAATAGTCAGCGCTGGTCTGATAAACAGCATATCATGGCGAAGTATGCTGATTTTGGCATCAGACCATCTGCCCGTAGTCAACTCGATAGATAAACCAACCCACCTTGCTTCCGCGGAAGACTGGACCTATATCAACTTTTCTAAAGCTGATTGGAAAAGTTTCGCGGAATTTACTGAAAACACCTTCGCTGCTCTCCCCACACCAACCGACGTCCACCTTGGTGAGTTCCGCAGGGCTGTCACCGCTGCAGCAGCTCGCTTTGTAACGGCAGGATGCATTGCGGGCCCACGTCCAAATTTCCCGGCCGAAGTGGTTGTTCCAGCCGATGAGCTGATCCCGGGGATCCCCGTATCAGGGATCTCAACGCGGAGGTTCGGCAGCTGGTGAACGTACATAAGCGGAAGAAGTGGGAAGAGTATCTGAAGCCCTGTAGCTTCACCTCTGGTCTGAGTAATCTTTGGTCAACCGTGAGGTCACTGTCCAATCCGACGAAACACGACGACAGAGTAGAAATTTCTTTCGGCGACCATGCTTCGTCGGACCCGGAGCGATGCGCGAGCTATTTTAGCCGGCAGTTCATACTGCATTCTCCGGTGGACAAAGCCAAGCGTCGAGTGACCAGAAGGCTGCACAAACGGCCAACAAATTGTGCCCCCCTTGCTTTCACTTGCTGTAAAGCTCAGGTTGCCATCGGGAAGGCGAAAGCCTCCAAAGCCATGGGTCCCGACGGAATGTGCATGCTGATGCTGAAAAATCTGGGTCCTGCGGGAGTAGCGTACCTAAAGGAGGTCCTCAATTTGTAAATAGCCACTCTCATCATCCCAGACATCTGGAAGGTGGGAGAACCACAACAGCCCTACTTCGCTCTGGCTACTGCAGCAGTTTAAACTCATACCTGAGCAGACTAAAAGCGGATGTGCCAAATGAGTGTCCGGCATGCGGAGAGACCCCTCATGACTCGAAACATCTCTTCGCATACCCGGAAAGCCCGACAACCCTAACGGATTTGTCCCTGTGGACCGACCCAGTGGAGGCTGCACGCTTCTTAGGGCTGCCGTTAGTGGAAGTTGACGACAACGACTGAGATATCAACCGATCTGGGCGAGGTTGTTGTAGCCGCTACAACAACAACAACAACAACAACTTTGATTGAAAAGACTGTAACGAGCCAGACTAAATGTTTATTTAGCAAAAATGTTCAACACGATACCCTCCTTAAAAAAAAAAAAAATCATTGTTACTTCGCTGCAAAATCAAATTTGTTTCAACTTTTGAATAGCAAGAAAGTGCTTTTATTTTTTTTTTTTTTCTTTAGGTGAGATTATTGTTCTAAGCAGTCTTACCATCAAAATATAAACAAGTAGAACAGTTCTTTTAGATCTTCGGTTTACGTGTAAATAAACTTCTTGATAGCCCCTAAACTACTAATCCGGTTACAAAATGTTGCTACATGCACAGATTATGAAAAATTAGATAGGATTTACTTATTAAAAATTTAAGATTGGCCAACTATATCCAAAGAAAATTGCAATTAAGTGAGTGCCTTTCTTTCAGATCTCAAAAACCCGAAACTTGGCTATATACCAAAAACGGTTCTACTTTCTTATATTCCAATTTCGTAATCCTATGCGAAGGGAAATTTTATGCTAGACTGGAAGGCGAATTTATATATGGTGGTGTTACTAGATCAGCTGATTTTGTGTATGTGTTTCGCCTCACGGCTTCTTATGTCAAATTGAAAAATTTTGTTTGAATTTCCACACACACTCTTACAGATTTTGACGGTTTATGCCGCCAAAGCAAAAACAAAATACATGTAAGTTTTTGTTTTTGTACTCCTGCTATCACCTTATATAAATTCGCCTAGTCAGTCTAGATAAAAAAAAAATTACAGCCAATTTCACGAAGGCAATTTAAGTGAAAAATTATTTTAATTTTCTGATTTTTTTATGGAAATTGACAGAAAACAAGAAATCATTTTCCATTTAATTTGCTGTTAAAATTGCCATTGAAATCACATTGTATATATCTTTATTTTACTTAAATTTTAGAAAACCTTGGAATTGCTACCGAAAACATCTTTAAACGAAAATTTCTAATTTTGCGAATTGAATTAAACCTCTGAGAAGGTGAGTACTTAACATATCAAATATTTTCCTTTCATTGTGTAAAAAATATGCCATGCCAGCAAAGGTGCATTGTAACTAATGGTGATTTCGTTTCTTCCAAAAAATATTGCCCTTCTCCGGTAAAAAATGTTTTTGATGTTACACTCAACCCTGTCAAAGGGCATGCTTTTGCCTTCTTGACGTTGTTTACCTCACACATTTTATTGTTTTAAACTAGGGCTTCGAAGCGGAGCGGAGTAAAGGATTTTAGCTGGAGCGGAGCTGGAGTAAAGAGCTAAAAAAATAGTTTGTTCCTTAGCGCCTAAAAAAAATTCTATATTTTGTTTTTGTTATTTTCTAGCGTCGTAACAATTTCTTTGAAAGATTTTTCTTTTTCCGCAAAAATTTTCGAATACAACGACCTCAAGCTCAATAAAAATTAAAAAAAAATCAATTAATAAATATACTTAAATTATTATTTTTGGGTGCAGAAGTGTATACATATGTATACATACATAGCTGCATTTCTGCATCAAAAAGAAAATTTTCAAAAAATGTGGCCTACGTTTTTTAGCGGTTAGGGCTCGATATGTAAATAAATAAATTAAAAAGTGATTTTGGGTGCGGGAGTGGAGCAAGAGCGGAGCTCGGAGCAAAATAAAATACCGGAGCGGAGCTGGAGCGGGGCGATGAAAAAACCCTTTGCTCCGAAGCCATGTTTTAAACAAGCAACTAATTTTCAGGCCAGCCATCTCCCCTGGAAAAGCTTCAAAGGGCAAAGAATGTGCCTTTTTTACCTTAAAAGAGTGTAACATTTTAAGAAACGAACACTAAATCCCTTTGCCTTAAATTTAGAATCGAACACGAAAAGAGAAAGGGGCAATCAAAAGCCGACATTTTTTGGTAGAAACGAAATCACCATAAGTCGAGGACTATCCGTGTATTCGGATATCTGGTTATCCATTCAGCCTTTCATGTGTATGGATAAAAACTGGAAATCTGTTCCGGATGTTCTAAACAGTATTTGAACGGATTCGTAAAATTGTTTTCAAAATTACAGAAGCTGCAAAATAAACAAAACAAACTATTCTTGATTTTTAGATTCGGAAAATCGAATAAAACTACACTATCTATAAAAATTTTTATTAAGAAATACGAGTATCCGGATTATCCGGATAGTCAAAAAATCCTGATAAAATTGTCAGCCTTCATAATAGTGTTAATTTTAACATTTATAGGACTCAGTTTGTTGCATTTAGGAAATTTAAAAAAAAATTATGTTTGCTTTTTTAACATAAAATAAATCCTTTCGCTAACGTCGAGGGAATTTAGCCGCTAAGTGTAGAAAGTCGCCTCAACAGTAAGCTGGCAACGTTTAAAAATTTGATTTATTTGGTTTAACATTAACGATATAATTTTGTTTTGTTAACTTTTCTACATATGTACATACATACATATCGTTACCCTAATTCACAAAGGCGCTAACCAGCAAATTTTCTATTTTACAGAAGAAGCAAAAAACAGTATAACAAATAAACGAAACACTGCAGATATGCCTTTTACAGTCTAAGAGCTAGCAACATTTTCGATAGAGAATTTAAGTTCAGCTGGTGTTTTCATATGAGATCTCTCTCACTCCCTCGGTTAGCGTGGGGCCATCTGGCAGGCGGTAAAGGTTGCGCTGACTAGTGCGCACTGTTTCTTTACAGTTAAAAATACAATTTTTTTAATTCATTTTAGTAAGGGCCATTTCCTTCTCATTGGCTTTAACTAGCTTAAAAAGCATAGATTTATTATTGCCAGACATGTCCATTGTCGCTAACATTGTGCCAGACATAATTTTTTATTTTTATTTTTTATCATTTTAGTAAAGCTCAAAATTTAATATGATGTTGTTTAAGTACTAATGACTATAACTATAACTACTTATCTAACGTTATAATATAAAACTAATTATGGGAATATTAAAAATCTATATATTAATATGCTAACGAAATCCCATACAAATCTATTCCTCCCTATTGCTCTTATGTTTCTCAGCCGATTTGAATGATTGCTCTTTTGTTCGAAATATACCTGCGAAAAATGGACCCGATAGGTGGCTGGAAAGGACTCGCTTATATATACACGAGATTTGGAAGTTTTTATCCAGATGTTAATCGACATGTTTGTGGTATCGGTGGAGGGGTCATGCAGAGTGTATCCAGAACTGGTATTCAAGCTTCATAAACGATTACCCGGATTCTTAAAAATTAGGCTAAAGTGTTGCCAAACAAAAAAGGTTTTTTTTTTGCTTTTACCGGTTTAAGGGGGTATTTGGGTACACCCGACATTTTTCCCGACATATTCAGTGTTATTCCAACGATACCGGAACACTAGTTGGAAAGATAAAGAGCTAAATTGGTTTTGGTTCGTGTCTGCACTGCGAGATGCTATGTGATGTATGTACGTCTGTACGTACCTTCATTTACCTTAATTAAGTACAAAAGTATGAGGAGTTTTTTCGCCTTTCATTTGCTACATTTCGTATAAGATATACATACGTGATTAACTGCAACCGCTTTTTTTAAGCTGAAAAACGGTACATTGCAAATATTTCGAAAACTTATTTATGGAAAATTACTCGATTTTCGTAATCAGCAAGAGACTCTGCATAGGAATTGGATAGTAGCATCCGGTGCGCATTTTTGTTGTAAGCCAGTATTTTTTATGACAGTTATAAATATCAAAATGTTTGTGTTTTTCTCTTGATTTTGTTGCTTCTTTCCGACAATATATAAGTTGATGTTTTTTGAAAGGTGTTAAATTCCTATTTACCTTAACGTATGTATTTTAAATAAAAAATATAATTTTTGATATTCCAATAATTGGTATTTTTGTTTTGTGTAATAATTGTAGTTATAGTTTAAAGTTTTCATACTAAAATCCTATGAAAATTCACTATTTCGCTACTATCTCTCTACCTACCAGCGTAAAAGCTTAAACAGACGGCAGCGTTGATTCAGCTTAACTCGGACTTAGTCCAGATCAACTGCAGTTAATTCCCGAGTTGATCCGGATCAACGCTGTCGTCTGTTTGTACTTTAATTCTTTTAGGCTTTAAATCGCTCCGGCTCTTGCTTTAGCAACCGAATTATTATCTGGAAAATTAATTTTAGATTCATTAGTTCTTAAAACACATCATATTAAATTTTGAGCTTCACTAAAATTATTAGAATTTTTTTTATTATGACGTCTGGCACAATCTTAGCAACCTTTAACATGTCCGGCAATGATAAATCTATGTTTCTGAAAGCTAATTAAAGCCAATGAAAAGAAAATTACACATACTAGAATTAACTAAAAATTTAGCATTCTTGACTGTAAAGATACGGTGCGCACTAGTCAACGCAACCTTTACCTCCTACCAGATGGCCCCCACGCTAACCGAGCGAGTGAGAGAGATGTCATATCAAAAAACCAGCTNTATTATTGACTGTGAAGATAAGATGCGCACCAGTCAACGCAACCTTTACCTCCTACCAGATGGCCCCACGCTAACCGAGCGAGTGAGAGAGATGTCATATCAAAAAACCAGCTGACTTAAAATTCTGGTTTCCAAGACGCTGCTAGCTCCCGTACTACTAAAAAGTGTCATAAGTCCCTTGTTTTTGATACCCACATTTCAAAATTTTCGGAGGTGTATTTTAATATGCCCTACTAAAATGTGTGAAAAACGTAGTTTCAAAAAAAGAGTTGGATAGGGCCTATGTGAATTAAGGTGACGATATGTAGCTATGAAATGAAAGATTACCATCTCTGCATATAAAGAGATAACTCAGTGAATATGCTAATTATAAACGGTGTTTTTCTTTTTTATTTTCAATCTTATTTCTACAGCAATGGCAGCACGCGGTCGCGGATTTCTTTTATCCCTCAAAACAGAGAAAGATTCCACTGATGGAGATTCATCTCTAAAGGATAGTGGCTTAGGCAGTAAAAGTTTGAATTCCGGTGGAGAGTATCGTCGTGTCGGTCGTGGCAGGCTGCTAGATGATTTGGCTTCATCATGCACCAATATGACACTTGAGGGTCGTTCGTCTGACGATACCAATCAAGGAAATATTACATCTACAACTGATTCGAATAAAGCTTCCCTGTTTGGGGGTCGCGGTCGTGCCAATGTTTTCAAAACGTTATTTACTGATGAGCCAGCAGAGCCTAAGTTGGATACTCAGCCCGTTCCCGTTTCCGTTCCCGTTCCCATTCGCGCTCCTGTTCCAATGCCTGTGCCTGAACCGGAGCCTGAGAAAGAGGTAATTCAGGCCGATATTTATAATCCAGAATTGAAACACGGCAACAAAGGTATGCCAGTACGTTTGGCATGTAATTACATACGTTTGTCATCTGATCCCGAAAAAGGTGTGTTTGTCTATGAAGTGCGATTCCATCCCCCAGTAGATTCGCTTAGTTTACGTATGAAGTACCTGAATGAACATCGTGATAAATTTGGCGGCACTAAGACATTTGATGGAGTGACTTTATATCTGCCAATTTTACTTAAAGATAAACTAACAACTTTTCTCAGCAAAAATGTCGCAGACAATTCCGATATTGAAATAAGAATCTTATTCAAACGCAAAGAAGCGCTCAAGAACTGCATACATCTATACAATGTGCTGTTCGATAGAGTTATGAAAACTTTGAATTATGTGCGTTTCGATCGAAAGCAATTCGATCCAACTGCTCCGAAGGTCATTCCACAGGCAAAATTGGAGGTATGGCCTGGCTATGTAACCGCAATTGATGAATACGAAGGCGGTTTGATGCTGTGCTGTGATGTATCCCATCGCCTTTTATGCCAAAAGACTGTTCTCGAAACATTAGTAGAAATTTATCGCTCTAATCCCAACATGTTTCAGGAAAACGCCAAAAAGTATTTATTGGGTTCACGGTACAATAACCGAACGTACAGAATCGACGATATTTGTTTTGAGAAAAACCCAAAAGCTACTTTTCAAACCAAACAAGCTGAATTATCATATATCGACTATTACAAGCAAAGTCATAATATTTTGATTAAAGATGAAACTCAGCCCCTAATAATCAGTATAAAAAAACAAAAGACTGCTGATAAGCAAGCTGCGGAAGATTTAGTTGTTTGTCTTATTCCGGAACTATGCTACCTGACAGGCTTGCGTGATGATATACGTTCGGACTATAAGCTAATGCGTGAGATTGCTACATTTACCCGAGTCTCGCCAAACCAAAGATTACTCGCTTTGGAGAAGTTTTTCAAGAACGTAAACAGTTGTCCAGAAGCTCAAAAAATACTTGAGTGTTGGGGTTTAAACTTGAAGAATGCACATGAGTATTTAAATGGACGGCAATTTGAGGAAGAAAAAATCATGTTGGGTAAAAAGCAATTTGGGGCTGGTGTAAATGCAGACTTTTCTAAATATGTTGGAAACAATGAGGTTTTGGAAGTTGTGCACCTTAGCAATTGGATTTTATTCCATTGCAAAACGGACTCGCGATGCGCCAAAAACTTTTACGAACATGTGGATCGCAATTCTCGTGCTTTAGGAATAAGGGTGGATAAGCCGAAAATAGTTATTTTGGATAACGATAGAGTGGACACTTACGTAAAAGCTTTGAGAACGAATATTGATGGGCAAACACAAATAGTTGTGTGCATTAGTCCGACAAATCGTGATGATCGCTACGCGGCAATTAAGAAAGTTTGCTGCGCTGAAATACCAATACCATCGCAGGTAATTAACGCGCGAACTTTACTGAATGAGGCTAAAAATCGTTCGATCGTGCAGAAGATCATGTTGCAAATGAACTGCAAACTTGGCGGATCATTGTGGGCTGTAAAAATTCCATTCAAGAATGTTATGATCTGTGGAATCGACTCTTATCATGATGCAGCACAAAAAGGCAACTCTGTCGCTGCTTTTGTAGCCTCTTTGAATCAAAATTACACTAAATGGTACAGCAAAGCTGTCATACAGGGCAAGCGAGAGGAAATTGTGAATGGCCTTTGTTCGTCATTTACTGCTGCGGTAACACGTTTCCATCGAGAGAATGGAGTTTTTCCTGATAACATAATCATTTATCGAGATGGTGTTGGCGATGGTCAATTGCCGCTTTGTTCCGGCCACGAGATACCACAATTGGAGGCGGCTTGCAAGCGCGCTTTCAAGGATTATGCTGTCAAAATAACCTTTATTGTTGTACAGAAACGTATAAATACGAGATATTTTTCTACGAATGGATCTAATGTCGACAATCCACCACCGGGCACAGTCGTAGATAATGTCATAACACGTTCAAAGATGTACGACTTTTATTTGGTATCGCAGACAGTACGTCAGGGCACCGTGACGCCAGCACATTACATAGTGCTAAGAGACGATGCCAAATATAGTCCTGATATTATACAAAGATTGACATATAAACTCTGCTTTATGTACTACAATTGGCCAGGAACTATTCGAATACCTGCATGCTGTCAATACGCGCACAAAATGGCGTATTTAATCGGCCAAAGCATACGAAGGGCAACATCGGAAGAGCTTTCCGATAGACTATTTTATCTTTAAGATTTTATTTGATAATTTTC